CAGAAAAACATTTCTTTCATTCCCTGCTGATCCACCCCTGCCCCCCCCCCCCGCCCCCCAAAAAAAAAGGAGTATGTAGGGATCTACCAGTCCGAACAAAATACTGGCAGCACCTGAACATCATCAGAACGACAGCCGTTTTGGGCTGTGACTGCTGAACCACTGAAAAAGAGAACAGCTGAAAACGTACCCTTGGGGCATCCAGCACCTTGTTTCTGCCCAAGGGTCAACCAACCGACAACAGGACCTACAAAACTCCAAGACCAAAAAGCACCTGAGCCTCCACATGCTCAACGACTGAACAGCACATGCCCAAACCAAATTCAACCAACAATTGCCCCTGCCTATAAATAGAAGCCAGGAATTATGTCACTGTCTGTGTGATTACGTGACTTTCATCCCTAGCATTTCTGTTTGCCTCTGTCCCTCCGTCTTGGCCGTGGCATAACTGGGTGGCAGTCCTCAGAAGGTAGGTAATTGATGATGTTCAATACATACAAGGGATCACACTCGCATGGCATACTTCATCATTTCACCACTTTATCTGTGTAACCATCCAGACAACAACATTTCATATCAAATGTAGCATCTCAACCATGAAGCTATTCCAACCATTAATTAACTAGTTTTAACAATCACTGCAGTGCAGTGCTAGCCAGCCATGAGTTAGTGACGTGGGGGGAGAGAGAGAGAGAGAGAGAGAGAGAGAGAGGGAGAGAGAGAGAGAGAGACAGAAATTGCAAGACTGCAGCTCACAGAATAGAATGCCAACTGCAGTGCAGTGCTAGCCATCCACAAGTTAGCAAGCAAGCGAGTGAGATAGAGAGAGCAAGAGAGAGAGAGAGAGAGAGAGAGAGAGAGAGAGAGAGAGAGAAGCTGCTGGGACTTACAACTGCAGCGCACCAGCATCCGCAAACGAAAGGGGTCGCAGTGTGCTTGTAACTGGCCTACGTAGAGCACGAAACAACAGGTCTGAGAGTTTGAGGCATTCCAAGCACGGGCCTGTAAACCAGTGCTGCAAACCCAGCAGGACCGGGGGACCCTCCCACAACCGGAACCGGACCGGTCCTACCGGCCAGTCGACCAGGCCGGTTACCCCCCGGTTGGCCGTAGCGCATCTTTTTTTTCCTTTTTTTTCCTTTTTTTTCCTTTTTTTTCCTTTTTTTTCCTTTTTTTTCCTTTTTTTTCCTTTTTTTTCAAGCCCAAGGTGTTGTGGATGCGAAGGACTAGACCCACAGTGATCGCTGGCAGCGGCAGCCAGTGGTTATGCCACCAGTATCGAGTACAACTTATCGAGGACAACAGTGACAAGCACCCCCTAGCACTATCACCCCCAACCCCCTTTTCAAAGTTCTTGGGTAGAAAGTACCGTCCCTACCCTGCCACTAGCACCCCCAGCCCACCTTTCAAAGTTTTTTGAGCGGAAGGTTAACGTTTGCAGAAAGCCAGGCGTGTTGTTGTCAACGTCTGCTGAAGCCCGTGCTTGCAAAAACCCCACCACTAACACCCTCACCATAAACCGCCCAACCCCTGAAATAACCCCCCCCAACCCCCCCCCAAACCCCCAAACGAAATTTCTCTGTTCAAAGTTTTCTTTGCGGATTCGGGGAGATCTCAGCGAACCCAGTCCAACCATGTTTTCAAAAATAAAATAAAAATAAAAATTGACTCACTTTTGGGCCCAACCAGAATTCCGGTTGGGCCGCCGGGGGTCCAACCGGCCGGTTGCCTGCACAGCCCTGTTCTAAACAGAATATATGTGCCTGATAAGAGCAGACTCCGTTGTTCAAATCTACCTTGGCCCACTCGTGTCGGCCTTAAGCCGGTCAGAAGTAGACGCGATCTCACCTTCTCAGTTGAGCTGGAAAGCATCGAGAGAATACTGATACAGATAGAGCTGACAGTCAGCGCAGGAGACCATGAATCATACAGGATATCTGCATCCACCACACACATAGAGATGCCAGCCACGAACAACACACACCGAAAAACAATTACGCCTGTGAAGAGTCTAAACTCCACTACATCCTTGATTGACACACTGCTACCTTCTTCCCCCGAGTAGGATGCACGGATTGCACAGTCATTATGGCTGTATTTGAGGCAACTTTCGGTTCACATGCAGCAAACAGCAACCTCAGATTCTATCCCAACAAAGACGGTAGCAAACACATTGACCCTGCTCTTTGTCGACATGATTAATAGTCATAAGCAAACTAACGTTCAAGGCATTTGGAAGCCATCCCGCACTTGCCACAGGTTCGCTTCACCCACACGGCCCATGGCTTCGCTGGTCGACCGCTCTGGAGATTGCAGTAAACCAAGATTGCAATCGCGAAGTAATTCTGGGAAAGAAAAAGCAGAAAGCAAGGATGGATATTAAAACAACACAAGAACAAACTGAAACTTCTCTGTTTAATTTCTCCTTTTTTTCATTTTTTTTCATTTTTTTTTTCACTAAGTTACAGTATGCTCCCAATATGCATCACACTACCTAGCAGGGCTTGGTCGGTCTCCATACTGGCCTTCTGTGTCCAGCATAACCCCTGATGAAGGATGGTAGGGACGTGCCCCCCCAAAGATCCAGCGAAAGGGGGTGCCAAGCCAACTTATCTCAGCTGGTGAACTCGAAGTGCACCACAAGGTGCCGCGGGGAATTGGATGGACGACGTGGGGAATCGAACCCATGACCTCCTGAATGCCACTACCGTGCTCTACCACCCCAAAGTGCACCACAAGGGCTGCGGGGAATGGGACGGACGGGGGAATCGAACCCAGGACCTCCTGAATGCCACTCACGTGCTCACCAGCCCAAAGTGCACCACAAAGGCCCCGTGGGAAATTGCCAACCCAAGTGCACCACAAGGGCCCCGTGGGGAATTGGACAGACGGCATCGGGAATCGAACCCACGACCTCCTGAATGCCACTCGAGAGCTCTACCAACCCGGAGTGCACCACAAGGGCCGTGGGGAATCGGACGGACGACGTGGGGAATCGAACCCACGACCTCCTGAATGCCACTCACCTGCTATACCAACCCGAAGTGCACCACAAGGTGCCGTGGGGAATTGGACGGACGACGTGGGGGATTGAACCCACAACCTCCTGAATCCCGCCCGAGAGCTCTACCAACCCGGAGTGCACCACAATTGCCACAGGGAATCGAACAGACGGCGTTACTGTGCAGTAACTTAGTCCACACCCATCCGCTGTAACAGTAAGAACTTGCAGAATGCCGAGAACAGCAATATAGGGTGAACGATCCGAGGGTAGCAAAAAAGTCCAGGGTTGGAAGGGCCGAGGCAGAAAACGGGGTTGGCAAGCTGAGAGTATGGATGCTAATGCCACATGTAATCTGTGCCATCCGTGATTCTGATCGGCCTGCAATCCGGGCCGTTCCTAATAACGATTAGCAGTTTCTAGTAACTTTCTATAGTATTTCAACTGTGACAGCCGTACATGTATCTTCACATGTGAACTTTGTCATCCCATCAGAATCAGGTTCATGGATTCATGTTGTTGCTACCCATCACAGAACCACCGTGGCAGTTAAATGAAGTACACGTGATGCCTTAGTATGACATGTGTGCTGTTTGAAACACGGAGCACGACCGTGAACAGGACGTGTAAAGGTAAATAAACAACGAGGGTCTGCACAAAAAAGTTTAGGCAATCAATGAGAGAAAGTTTAGGCAATCAATGCTAGGGCTGGGTGGAAGGGAAACGCAGGAAGATAACAAAACTGCACTTTCATTCCCAGTCCTAATCAACAGAATAAAATAAAAAATGAAAAATAAAAGGAAGAGGATCCGGCCGAGAGGCTGCTCTTGCCAATGCCGAAATGTGCCAGACCCTGGCACTGAAGTTCAAACAAAGGTTGTCTTGAAACAGGCCCAAAAATGGCCTGCGCTAAACCCTGGTCTGGCACCCAGGTTTCAGGGCAGGTCGACTTTTATGAGGCCCTGAAAATGGCCCTCCTTTTCAGGCTTTTAGGCTGAAACGACACAGGGCCTGGAGGGCCCTTATTTTCTGTCTGGTCGGGCCCTGCAGGCCCGTGTGGATGCGCAGTATGCCACAATGTGATACACATTGACTACAGATGAGGTCAGCCTTCAACCACTCGACAGATCGGAAAGAACATCCACAGCAATAACAGATGGGAGAAAAAAGGAAAGAAAAAGACTTGAACAAATACAGAGAAGATTGACGTAAACTTACCAAGACAAATGTGCCCATTACTGTAAATGTGGGGGTGAAGAGGTGGAGAATTTATAAAAACAACCTGCACATCACGAAGAACAGCAGCACAATCATCAACGCCTCATCAATCCCCACTAGACTCGCACAGTGGCACTACGTGTAATGCCAGCGACCCCCTGACTGATTAAAAGTCTGGAATAAGCATTTGCTTCGCCCTCCTCCTCCTCCTTTTCCTCGTCGTGTGCTCTTAATTCTTTTTATTTTTTTCCCTTGTGCAGGGGCCATGCTAACCTTATCTGTATCGTTCCAATCCTCAAGGCAATGACATAAGGGTTCTTGTAATCAGCCAAGGTGATTCAAAAAACGAGTGCCCTTGCAAAACTCCATGCACAGTTTATATACTTGTATCATATAGGTCTTCCTGCAATCATCCACATGGCTGAGCAAAAAATACCCCCTCCCGCTAGACAACCCCCATGCACAGTGGATCACACGGTCAGCAGGGCCAGATCCTTACCTAGCGTCAGTTCTTAACCCATAGTGGTGCTACAGAATTGTGTCTCAAATTCCCACGGAGAAGAGGGGAGTGCGGCGGGGAGAGAAGAGAGTGCGGCGGGGAGAGAAGAGTGTGTGTGTGTGTGTGTGTGTGTGTGTGTGTGTGTGTGTGTGTGTGTGTGTGTGAGGAGGGGGGGGGTGAATCTCCTGAATCCACCAGGGCGGTTAAGAGAAGAACAACAGCATTTTAACACATTTGCGAGGATAGGAGGTAAGTGTCAGTACACCCATGAACTGCTGATGAGCAGACCCAAGTTCGAATCCAGAAGGGGAAAAGAAGGAAAAACGAGTTAAGTAATCATTATATATATTACCTGTGGTGCTTCCATGGGATAGTGCTCCGGGAAATCGACTTGCAGTTGGAACTGTTCGTTCGCATAGAGAGTGCCGTCAGCGCCATTTACCTGGATTATCCATCTGCATGCCAGAGAGAAAGCAAAACCACACAAATCAACTCTTCCCAGTTATCCAAAGCTTTAAAGTTTAAACCCAGGGAGGAACGAACTCTGGTCTTTTCAACGCATGCCCTAGCGGCCTTAAATCACAGCTGCTCAAAAAAAAAAAAAAAAAGGAACAAAAACAAGAAAAGAACCCCAAGAACTGGCTGCAGAGCACAGCAGCACAGAGCTCATCATCAACCCACCCAATGGCACCCACACTAATTACTGAGAAAACGTTTGTACCTTTTTTTTTCTCAGTGCATGTTCCCGTTGACCCGCTCCTATGACACACACTGTGATGGAGATTCGTCATTGCAATCGTAGATTCACTGCGATGGAAATTAGTTTGCCATCACACCTGTTTCTTCTTGGAATGAGACCCCCCCGCTCGGACTGCCGTCTCTTTCTTTTACATACAATGGCGCGGCCTAGTCAGTCTCATATCCTTGAGACCTTGGATTTATCTATTGTTTCTGCGAAGACTTTTGTTTGTTTATTAGCTAAACAGCAACAGCAATGGACATTCATCGTTGCGATGAATGATGTGCACTGTCATAAAGATGTAATGGTTGCAATGATCGTTAATCGTTGCAATGGAAGATGCTCTGTGATGGAGATAATAATCGCAATGCTAGATGAATTGTGATAAGAGGATTAGCAGTGCATTGCGAACAGCAATGGAATGAGCAACGAACTCGGAGAAATCAAGCCATCTCCTTGGCACTTCCATTTACATCCGATCCGCTGCTTTCCTACCACAATCCTTTTTCCACCATCATAGGAACATCCTTCGTTCACATTAAAAGAAATAATAATAATAATAATGACAAGAGAAAGGGCCCAACGTAAACCAACCAAGTGAAAAATACTAAGACGCACAACTTCGATAAATGCAATTTCAGCTCTGTGATTTGGGACAACACAAACCCGAACCAAAGGAGCCGGACTGACGCTCCCCAGAATGGATATGGAGCCAGGACCATAAGGCCCTGTTTAGAATTGGAACAAAAAAAAAGAAAAAAATACAGAGAGAGGAACGACGGCAATTACAAAATATGCAAATCAGAATGATGCCAGCAAAAAAAGCTACACGAAAGTAAACACTCCCAATTCACCACTTCCATCCTGACCAGAATGCCCGCGATGGCCATTCATCTAGATTCTAGACAAAGCAAAATGAGCCAGGCCAGCCAACGGACCACCGAGCCTAGCTGGTACAGCCACAAACTATTGAAATACAGACAAGTTCGAATCCAGATACAAACGGACCCTTGGTTGAAGGCAATTATCTGATCGGCGAAGTTTCCCAGCGACTGTGATCAACAGCTAATCGTCTAACTATACTAGTCCTGACCTGCACTCAATGCTCATCACTGCCATACATACACAGGATGTCGACCTGGCGCTATTCTCCCGCAGCATGTAACATGCTCCCATCAATTCTCCTCTAGGGACACGGGCAGCAGGCAATATACGCACCCATCAATTCACCAGGCAACGTCCTATAATTCCTTCTCTTATCCGAAAATGTGTTGAGCCTGATGTCATTCCAAACCCCCCCAGAGAAAGCGCTCTGCTATTAGTCGCTCTTTTAGAAAAATGAAAAGAACATTCTATTAGAGTGCCCGCCGTGTACGCAGTGGAGGGCAAATTGGGGTCATACAACCCCACCGCGCGCTGCTATGCACTTGTGTTCAAACATTCGCCACGTTTCGCCACGTGCACCGGATCCCAAAAAGTAAAAAAGAGAACTGAGCGAAACTGCCGCCCCCCGGCAGTACTGCCCCCCGCGGTTTCTCTCGGGACCGGTGGGGGGGGGGTGACATGGGTCTGCTATTCTCTTTAGGAGTATAGAGAAGTCACCTGTGCGTGAAAGGTTCTTTAACGCACGCTTACCAAGAAATAGGCCTACAGCATAGAGACTCAGCGCATGCACTTTCATCACAGAAAAGAAAACAAACAGAAAACAGAGCAGGACAACACACCACACCATATCACCCACCCACCAGTGCGACCACGATACACAAACAAAAAAAAAGGGCAGGACAACACACGACACCATATCCAGTGCGACCACGATACACACAAACACGCCCACCACACACCAGACTCAGTGCATGCACTTTCATTGCAGAAAAGAAAACACTGAGCATGACAACACACATCACACACCACACCATGTCACCCACCCACCAGTGCGACCACAATACACACAAACGCACCCACCACACACCATCTTCTCCCCCCTTCCTCCCCTCCCTCCTCCCCTCTCCCTCTCTTTCCTTCCAGTTGGTTTGCATGTTTCAACGTTCGACTGCTGGGTCTGGGGTCTCAACTCAGATACACGGTTCTTTTTTCATAATTTGCCAATTTGGACTACTTGTCGATTTACGTGTGTCAGCCTTGTGGTGCAAGGGCCATGCTAATCTTGGATGTTTCGTTCCAATTTGAACGTATATCGCAAAAGGACTCCAATACACAATTTGAAACACAGACGGATGGAAAAACTGGCTGCCGAGTTCACCATCCACGCAGACTCAGTCCGTGTCCAGCACTTCATCGGGCAACTTTTTCTTCTTTTTTTTTTGGGAAAAAAATGGATGATTCCTCAATTTACGCGTGTCATCCTTGCACCGCGGCCATGCTAATCTTCAGTCTCTGTGTCGTTCCAATTTTAACGGATGTCCCGAAGGACAGAAGGGCAAATTTTTCTTTAAAAGTTGCCTTGGCAAGTTGGTCCTGTTCTTTCTCGGGTTGTTCTGATGAGAATAAATAGCATGGGCCAAAAAGGAGGGGGGGGGGGGGGGGGGGGGGGGGGGGGGGGGGGGGGGGGGGGGGGGGCGGCGAGGAGGAAAGGGAGGGAGGAACGCACCTCTGCAGGTTGTCTGTGACCTTGTGCTTAAACCCTGCAGGCGGGGATACCTGCCATTCCATGAGCTCCTTCTGGAGCCTGTTGGCCGCGATCTTGCTCAGTGTCTGGAAACCAAAACACACAGAGCAGACCAGCAATGCATCATATGCCCACGTCTCAACTTCGCTACCAACCCCAACACAAAATCAAAAAGAGGTAACACCCACCCCTGTAGATTCAAGGATGTGTGAAGTGTCATGAGGTGCAGGGCCAGTCCGATCCAAAAGGACAAGATCTTGAACAGTTCACTAATTAGATTGGATTAATCAATTCAACTAACGAATGTGATTGGGTTGTCATTTTCTTCGGAGCGTTTATCCGTTCGCTTTGAAAGTTTGAACAGATCACATTAGCATTAGTAGATTCGATTGTACGATCATTTGCTTCACTACTACCTCCTACTGCCTCCATCTCCCAACCAAATTTTGATGTTTCAATTTACGAAATTTGCTATCTCAGTGACTTGCACAGCCACCCTCACGAAACCAAAAATCCAACAAGTATTTCCGTTGTCGAGCACACCGGCTCCCGCCTTTTTTTGCAAAAGGCGAGAGCCCTCCCGGCCTTGTCACCCAGGAGTTAACAAAACAAAACCAGAGAAACTTGGGAACGAAGCAAAATAACCCCGCGAACCATCCACGACGCCAGCGGTCGCGTTGTCCCTTCGCCGCTCTAGCCGGGTACGCCAGCTGTACTTCTCACGGTCCCCTACGACATGATAGGTTCCTGTGGGGCACAACTTACCTTCCCCAAAGGGCTGTCACCACCCTTAGGGGCGTACCCCTACCGAGCTACTGACCCACGTGCGAAAGCTTTTATATGCAATCGCAGAGGTAGATCAGCCAAGGGCGTTTGCTCGATTCGCTGCAGTATAGATACGCTTGGTTAAACGCCAAGTGGACCCGAGCGTCGTCCGTTCCCTAGGGCGTTGATCTCCTAAGTACGAAACAGACACCGGTCGACTAGGACGGCCTCAACCAAGCGTGAAACCCACAATTTATCCTGGTCCCTTCAGACACTAGTCCAATGAAAGTTATAACAACCATACATAATTACATCAAAAGGAATATATATCCAATCTGAAATGATAACTAAAAGATACCTCAGGATAAACACCCATCCAAAAAACTCCAATTACAAAAGGTAAAAACATGAAAAATTCTCTTCTGTTTAAATCGGAGAACTTATGAATGAAATACGGCTTGAAATTTCCAAACACAACACGATTATAGAGCCAAATGGAATAAGCTGCTTCCAATGGCTGCTAATGTTGCCACGTTGGGCGCAGCTTGAAAAGCGCCTACTAAAATAAAAAACTCACCAATAAAGCTACTAGTGCCTGGCAGACTAATATCATATGATATGTCCAAGAACACAATATCAAAATAAAACCCGACCAACATAAAGTTGGGTTCTACAATCTCCTCGATGCAGCCAACAAGGTAGATGGACTGCCTCAGTTTTGACTTGATGAGACGCACCGCCAAAGTCATTCCACCCTACTGCATACCTAAGATCATCCACAAAGCACCCAATCATCCAAGAAAACCAGAAACGTATGGAGACAGGTCTGATGCGCTCGACACCGTGACAGCAGATCTTCATACCAGATTATTTCTATAGACGGGATATGTTAGTGCATTATTCTAGAAAGAATAGTGGACAAAATAGACGATAAATAACAGAACTGTTATTAGAACGCTAACAATAAACATTCGATCAACTCTACCATCAGAGAAATTTGGCCTGGTCTCCAGTACTTGCATGTAATAAACATTCGATCAACTCTACCATCAGAGAAATTTGGCCTGGTCTCCAGTACTTGCATGTGAAATTTGAACCACCAGTACCCTGGCCATATATCGGCCGATTCACCAGCAGGCTTAGCTCAGTTGGTACCCCCATAAACTGTTGAAATGCAGACCTGAGTTCGAATCCAGACAGAACCAGATGAACAAAATTCCTAAATTACCTGGGGCCGATCAGTTTCAAGATGATATCTCGAGGCTGTCGTCCTTTTAAAACAAGACAAGAAAAGTACAATCATTTCGACTCGGATGACTTTGGGTGCTCCAGTCCAAGCCCGTTCATCTGATTTACGGCCACAACTTCCAGGGGCAGTGGTTTAAGGGGTAAAATCAACCAAGGGTACCATTGCCAAAATGCATGTGGAAAAGCACTCAGTCAAACCGAGCAACAGGAGGCGGGATCGGGAGATAAATCGGAACGAACGAGGAGTTCGAACTCGATTATGCAATGGCTGAACGACATAAGCTAGCACATCCGAGGCCAGATCGGGAGATAAATCGGAACGAACGAGGAGTTCGAACTCGATTACGTAATGGCTGAACAACATAATTCTCTAAGTCAGTGAACAATCAGTGGTTTAAGGAGTAAAACCAACCAAGGGTACCATTGCCGAAATGCATGTGGAAAAGCACTCAGTCAAACCGAGCAACAGGAGCCTAGCCCCTCCGAGGCCGGCTCGGGAGATAAAATAGAAGCGAATGAGGAGTTCGAACTCGATTACGTAGTGGCTGAACAACATAATTCTCTAAGTCAGCGAACGATCAGTACTTGTCAAGAGCCGGCTCGAATGCCTACTTTCCTTCCTCCCACTCCCCTTCGCCTCTTCTCCACATCACCATCCCTCTTCCTCCTCGTAACTCCTCTATCCACCATAACTTTCCACGTGACAAAACGCCATTACACCCCTACTCTCCTCTCCTTCCACCAACAAATACACTTCTCCTCCACATCCATTGGCACATCCACCTGTTCTCTGGCCACTACCTTCTTCCCCCAACGAGAATGTCCGATCATTATAGCTGTATTTGGCTTGAAAAATTGCACCAGATATGCCTACAATGACCAGGCGTTCTATTCGAGCCAAGACGGTAGCACCCCTTTCGCCTCCACTAATCCTCCTCAAAACCACTTTCCACCTTACAAAATCCCATTACGGCCCTGCTCCACTCCCTGTCGGATTACAAAAGAATAGTACTCCTGCTCTCCGATAACTACCATCAATGTCCCCCCCTCCACTAATACTTTCACCACTTGACAATTTCACCTCTCTCTCTCTCTCTCTCTCTCTCTCTCTCTCTCTCTCTCTCTCTCTCTCTCTCTCTCTCTCTCTCTCTCTCTCTC